GTAAAAAATCTTACAGATAAGAGATCAAAAGACTGGGTGGACATGGATATGATGTTTGTAAAGGACATAATGAGTTATGTTATCGATCCGTTTACATATATTTGTAATTTATCATTTTCAAAAGGAATATTTCCAGACAATATGAAAGTAGCTAAGGTAATTCCTCTCTTTAAAAATGGTGATAAATGTATGTTCAATAATTATAGACCAATATCCTTATTACCACAGTTCTCAAAAATTCTAGAAAAACTATTTGTGACCAGATTAGATAAATTTATTACTAAACAAAACATTCTAAGTAGCAGTCAGTATGGGTTTAGAGCAAAAAACTCTACATCAATGGCTCTCATGGAAATAATAGAACAAATAACTACTGCTGTCGATCAAAAACAGTATTGTGTTAGTATTTTTGTTGGTTTAAAAAAAGCATTCGATACTATTGATCACACTATTCTCCTTGAAAAATTAAATAAATATGGTATAAGAGGACCAGCATTACACTGGGTATCTAGCTATCTAAAAGATAGGAAACAGTTTGTACAAATAAATGGTGTAAGATCTGACCTGTGCAATATCACTTGTGGAGTTCCTCAAGGCTCTGTACTTGGACCAAAGTTATTTATTTTATATGTGAATGACTTAGTGAATGTATCAGGACTCCTCAAATGTGTCCTTTTTGCAGATGACACCACATTTTTTTGTTTGGGTAAAGATGTAAAACGGATGTTGAAATTGATGAAGACAGAATTTGATAAAATACAAACTTGGTTTAAACTTAATAAATTATCATTAAATTTAGATAAAACTAAATACATGATATTTAGTAACAAAAAGAGAACTGTTGATGATCCATTTAAAATTGAGGGTGTTGAGATTTGTAGAGTTAATGAGATTAAATTTTTGGGTGTAATCATTGATGAACAGCTAACATGGAAAAATCACATAAATTCTGTAAGAACAAAAATATCTAAATCTATTGCAGTACTATACAAAGTCAGGGAATTATTAAATGATAAAGCTCTGTACATGTTGTATAACACAATCATTGTTCCACATTTAATCTATTGCATTGATGTTTGGGGGAAAGCGTGTAAAACATTTACAAAGCCTATTTTTATTTTACAGAAAAGAGCTGTAAGAATTATCACCAGAAAGCATTACAGTCACCCATCAAGCACATTATTTTATCAACTGAAGTTATTGAAGTTCCATGATTTAGTAGATTATAGTATTTTATCAGTTATGTATAGGGCTCAAAATAACACATTACCATTAAATATCCAAAGAAATTTTATTAAAAGACAAAGTTGTTACAATCTTAAGGGGATAGAGATATTTGTCAAACCAAAATTCAGAACTAGTCTGAAGGGAAGGTCTACCTCAATCCAAGGAGTTGGGTTGTGGAATGGTCTAGAGAGTGATGTGAAAAATGCCAAGTCAATGTGTACATTTAAGAAAAAGATCAAAACTGAATTGTTAAAAAATATATATATGAAGTAGCTTAGTGTGTGTTTTGTATTAGAATTAGAAAAATTAGAAAGAGTTATTCATTTTGTTCTGTTACTTGAAGATTATTATGTCTGAAATAATTGTTTGAAAAAGGGGCAGATATAATAAGATTTTTTTCTTCTTTCTGTTGCCTTTCATTTTAAATCTTTTGTATCCTTTTTTTTATATTGTTATGGAATTGTTTTGTACTTTTTTTAAAAGAATAAACTAAATACCATACCATACCATACCATCCATCCATCCATTATCTTTACCCGTTTATTCCATTTTGGGTCACGGGGGTCGCTGGTGCCCATGTCCAGCAATCACTGTGCGAGGGGCGGGGTACACCCTGGACAGGTCGCAAGTCCATCACAGGGCCACATAGAGACAAACGAGACAAACAACCATTCACTCTCTCACTCACACCTAGGGACAATTTTAGAGTTACCAATCAGCCTAACATGCATGTTTTTGGTCTGTGGGAGGAAACCGGAGTACCCGGAGAAAACCCACGCATGCACGGAGAGAACATGCAAACTCCACCCAGAAGGCACCTGGACCGGGGTTTGAACCAGGGACCTGCTCGCTGAGAGGCAGCAGCTCTACCAGTTGCGCCACCGTGCTGCCCATACCATACCAATTATTTATTATTTTAAATGATTCTCCTTCACTTTAAGAGATTTAGGCCATTTGATCAATTTAGAAAGAGCAGAAGTCATTATTGTTTCATGATTTATATTAGGAGGTTGCTTGAAGGAATTTTTGTTATAATCAGTAAATCCTTTGTCGCATTCATTCATTGATTCTTAATTGAAGCAGCTGTTGGTCAGGTTACTTCTTGTTGTGCCATCAGCTCTAAAATAGTTATTGAATAAAGTGTTTATTTATGTAGGTAAAACTAGATGTTAAACAACCATTAAAATACACCAGAATGCAGGAAATGGCATTTACTTTATTTAAAATTTTCAGGGGGAGGACCCCCAGACCCCCCCATCAGTGTGTCCCCACACACACACATTATAAATGCTTCTGACACCAGTGGCCAACATATTACTAGAACAAGTACACACATGGTGTCGTATGGGGGTCAAAGTGCGTTCAACTTAACTCAGTCTTGATTTGCGTCAACAAGAGGACGCAGTAGCATTTATAGTTCTATGAGCATTTGGATTTTTATACATAAAAATAAAATTGATAGTTAGAATTGTAAGTATATTTACTGTATATTATGGTAATTTATTCTGTATTTTGCCAGATTATGGTGATTCTGAGGTCGTTGTAGTGAACTAAGCCTCAGGTTAAAACCTGACCCTGAAGACCTTCATGGGACAGAAACTGTTATTTCATTAATTTGAATCCAGAAATACAAATTAAGCTCATCCAGAGACTTTCTAATTGTATCCTGCACTAATCAATTGAAAGAACACTCTCTTTTTTATTACTATTTTTACAAATGTCTTGATAATCAAAAGGTGTTTAGTTCAAACCATTTTAAATGTTGAAGTGAACTACTCATTTTAAATCAACTGTGAAATAGTATTAATGATTTTTAGTCCTCATTCAAAGTAGAAATCAAGTTAGATGTCTGTTACAAAGTAATTATGCATTTTTTGATCTTCTGTCTGAAATGAGAAGGAGTGATGTCGGTCAAAAGTCGGAGACAGTCGCAAACAAGTTTATTGGAACGAACTGTCATGTTTTTAAAACCTCTCAGACAGAAACAGAGAAGCTGGCTCCTGGGGTCTGTCATTTCGCCTAAACATTTCTCTGTCTGCTCCAAAACATTTCTCTGTCTGTTCTTAAACATCTCCGCTGTTTTTCTGACTTGTAGTAACCTCTTACGTCACTAAAACCACACCCCTGTTGGTTCTTTCAACCAATCAGGACTCCCAGAAGGGACCGGAAACAGAACTCTTTAAATGTCGACACTTCCTAGTTCCAGTCAGTTCTGAGACATGAACCGGAGTTCTGAGAGCAGAAGGAGTTCGGAGTTCTACACTTGAACCAAAGTTCTGGGAGAGAACAGAAGTTCTGAGTTCCTCTGAGTCTTCTCAGAGTCCCGTTAAGTTCTTCTGGTACTGATGAAGTTCGGCTGGAGTTCCTGTAGGAGCCACGATGCCTCGCTGTGACTCCACCCGGTGAAAACTTCATAACTTCTGAGGAGGTTTGTTCTGTGGAACTAGTTCTCACGACTTCTGCCAAGTCGCAGCCGCCCTGAGGAGACGCTGAAAGGTAGCGTACTAGGGACCTCTTGACCGCCGCGGATTCATCCTCCGCCAAAGGTAAAGAGTCGTCATGAGCTTCACTACCAGTGTACCGCGGGCGAACTGCGCTTCAAAGGAGCGTGTTGTTCTGGTCTACAGACATACATCCTCATCCATCTTTTTCCTCTCCATTTAAACTCCTTCATTTCCCATCTTTAAAACTCTTCTATCTTGCCAGTATTTAATCCAGATATTTTCAGAAATGTCTGTTGTATTTTAGTTGCAAGTGAGAAATCATGGCCGTATGATTTCTCATTGTGAAGCTCATTAATTAAGCTGTGTTATTGCGTTCAATCAGAATAATCAAGTGTACAAGTTGTGATGTTAAATTTTGATTCTGTTAATAAATGACCACATTCATTTTGATGGGTCAAAGAAAATTAACGTCTCCTGTCACTGATTAGACCATCTCCCACACAGTATCTCTGTCACATATCTGTCAAGTAGCTCGAAAAAGAGAGAACCTCGTCATTAAATATTGATTGTAGTGGAGCTAACTGAAGCTAACCGACCCTATTTCACTACATCGTGATGATGGGGCCCTTGAAGATTGTTGCCCAGGGTACAGTGAAGTGTTAATCTGGCCCTGTATACAACAATCTACTAGATCTATACAAAGAGTAATCAGAGCTTTATCACATTCATACACTGATGGGACACATATCAGAGGCAATGAGGGGTTCAGTGTCTTGCCCAGGGGCACTTCAACACGTAACTGCTAGTGGAATCGAACCCCCCAACTCTCCCATTGAAGGATGACTGCTCTAACCATGCAGACCCAGTTGCCCCAATTTCACTCCATTCAGAAATCACACTGACGTGGCCAGAAGGCAACTAAGGTCTGGCTTGAAGTGTTTTGTAAAAGTGCCTATTGTTTACAGCATTTACTGTAAATGTTACCTTGAGAACATATAGGGAGGAGATTATATGGAATTACTTTATGATGAAAAATTCTAAAGAATATACACTTTTATTTGTTCACAGGAACGGTTTGTTGCTTCATGGATAACGTTGTCAGCAGGTGTTTTAAGTGCAGCTGTGCGTTCTGGGCCAGGGGGCTTTGTTAGGCACAACATGACACATGCTGCT